AAACACATAAATATCTGTGTTAAATGCAATAATATTTATTACTTAAAGTCACAAGTGCCTAATGTTAACTTATTAATATTTATACTACATTTCTGAAATGAGATTTGATTCCCTAGTTTTTTTTATTTTATACATATGTTTTAGTAATAATTAATATAATAATAAGCAAATAAATATATAATAATATTTTGTTAATATTTTATTTATTTATTTTAGGATCTACACTGGATACAACTAATAATTCTTCTTTAGAAAAATTTATCACTGATTAGTGAGTTATTTTTATTATGCTATGAATATTGAAATACCATTATTTCACCTTTATGATCACTGGTTCTCATGTGATATGACATAATTTCAAACATTTCAACTTCCATGTATAGTATGATGTGTAAAACGATTAATAATCAAATATAAGATTGTAGTCTTCAACTCATATTTATCTGCCAACTCTATAATTGAAGCTTGATTTTGGATATATTGGATCATCTAAAAATATAACAAGATAAAAAAACAATAAAATATAATCTTGCTTGTTATAACTCCAAGTATCAATTTTTGACTAAATTAAATCTTCTTAAGAATAACAACAACAACAACAACATTAATATGCAATTAATAATAATATCATGAAAAAATGATTTAATAAACCAATTAAATATAAAAAATACAATATTTTTGTTTGATTTTAAATTAACTAAGAATATAATAACAACAATAATATCAATATGTAATAAGTAATGATATGGTGTAAATTAAATATAAAAAATACAATCTCCATATTTATTCACCAACTCCAAGTTATCATCTGATTAAATATGAAAAATAATCTTAATACAGTGTGTAATGTGTTAAGCCATTGAATCTACCTAGTATACAGGTGGATCCTTCAATTGAAGACAAATCTTTCTATTAGTAATATTATGTTGTAATATTATAATTATATCACTACCATATATTTCTTTGTCTATTTCGAGGAAAGTTAATGGAATTATCTAACCATTACTACATATAATATATATAAAAGAAAAAAAATGTTTATGTATATATATAATAATAATAATTGTTTTTAAAAAAAAATTTTCAAAGTACTTTTGTACAATAATTGAGATTAATATTTATTTGATATTACATGTTTATAATAAAATAAATGTATTCTTTATATGGTTACCTTTCAGTATTTTACACATTATGTATCTTATACGCGGAATCAAATATGTAGTGCAGATCATTAAATTTTTAATGAAAATCATTTCATCCTCGAATTTGTATTTTACATTACGAGAAAAAACCAAAATACCATTTTGTAGCCTAAGTTCTAAGATATAATTATGGAAAAAATCATTCTCCTGTCATTGGTAGAAAATTTGTTATTAAAAATAATCTGACGATAATAAAATCGATTAAATCAAAAAAAATTTTTAAAAATGCCAAAAAATTCCGAATTAACTGAAGCTGAGCATGGAAAATTTTTGGGTCTTAGATTAGGTGGTAGTAGTCTTAATAAAATTGTAAAGATACTTAATCTTCCAAAATCTACAGTTTATGATACCATTAAACGTTATGAAAATGCTGAAAGCCTAAGAAGTGCACCAAGAAGTGGACGTCCCTGTGCATTAAATTTTAGTGAACAAAAAACTCTCAGAAAAATTGCATTAAAACATAATCGCAGTTCTGCAGAAGAAAATTTGTTGGTGTCAATGGTGTTGAAGTGTCCCACCAATATTTTGAAAAAAACTCTGTTACATTAAAGCTTGGGTCCTAATCTATGTCATAACAAATCTATTTTTTAAAAAAATGATATATAGAAATGAACTTCTATTCTTTTAAAAACCATATGCAAAATTGGTGGTTATAGACTTCCTACACCATATGATTCATTTTTTATTGATAAAAATTTTTGCAATTCACTTTCATGAAATTTGTGGATTTCAATTTTATAACGGATAATGATCATATTAGTATGATAACTGATAAATTCTTCTTATTATTAAACGATAAACTGATTGTATCACATGGTTATAATATAAAGTTGCAAAAAAAAATAAGTTTGCCAGTGGGATTACATAGGACCTACCTGATAAATTTGTTATTATTACGATTGTGTATCATAATCACGTAATTATAATTTGTAAATCTCGTTTTTACGGATTAGCGGATAAATTTCTTGGCCAAACTTATCCGTTAAATCGAGATTCACTGTGTAGATTAATATTTTAGTTGATATTATTTTAAAGCTAATTTTTATAAGTTTGATAATATAGTAAAAAGCCAAAGAATAAGTCCATTCAACAAAAAACTTCATTTGTGAAGGTAAGCATTTTTGTTAAGTACCATTTTTATGTTGATAATTAATTTTTTTTTTTTTTTTTATAATATTTCGATTTTTGGTTTTGATTTTTTCTTATTTGAATTCATAAAGTTTTCTTTCATATTTGCTATTATTTTTTGAACAAAAATATTCACGAGTAATTTTCTTGAGGTGTAATGTGAGTCTGCATTATAAAAATGGCCAAAATTCGACCCTGTTCATTTTGTCTGCAACATACCCCATATTAATGAAGAATATGGAAAAGCAAGCATTGAAAACTGGCCAAAAATGAGGAGAAAAACCGATATTGCATTCAATAACACCATATCAAAAAATCAATCAGAAATATAATATTATAAGAGAGAAAATGAGAAACTTTTCATAAATTAATGGGTGGAATCGAATATTAAATTAATTTATGTAATTTATTTATTTTTCTATCTATATATTTTTGCTGTCCAGGTTTGGAAAATTTAACATGACCCTGTAAAATTTCTTCAAAGTCATATTTATCTAATTTTTGTAGTTCTAATCTGACATATTCAACCAAATATGCAATATTCTCTGCTGTTCCTTCTGTTACCAAAATATTTCTAATAGAAAGAATAAGAAAAATCATCAAATATATAATATATTATAATATAATATGGTTTTAATTTAGTTTTTTATTACCTCCATAAAGCCGCTGCTAATACAGGATCATCTTTACACATTCCTTCATCATATGACATAATCGCGCCTTTAAATTGTGATAATAAATCTTTGACATAGTGAGAAACAATACTATTTGATGTGATCTATTTAAATAATGATAATTAATTAATTGATAATCAATAAATCTAAAACACTATATAAGGGTTTTAATAATATCATACACCATGTATATTTCTTATTCTCCAATCGGAATCATCGAAAAAATGATTTACTAATTGTTGAATGTAGACTCTTCCTCCAACTTCTGATCTACATCTAACCATCAATATCCAAACATGAAGTAAAGTGATCTGGAACCAAGTTTGAAAACTATCAGGTAAATCACATTTTTCAATATAAAATTCTCGATTATCATCCATTTGTTTTGCACACATTTGATATAATTCTCTTGTTACTCTCATAGCATGTATTGGTATTGAATCATATCCAAATATTGATGCTAATTTTAATAATAATTTCTTGGTGAATGGTGAGAAATCCGATTCCAATTTTTGTGGTCTTTGAAACGTGTCCAAATATGGTGATTCTACCATGTATGGATTTATTTTTTCTTTCGTTAAATCTTTATTACTCTTATCACTGGCGAGAGTTTTTTTTGATGATGATGATTTTCTAAAGTGTTCCTTTAATTCTATTAATCTACTAATTAATGAAAGTTTTGGTGTTGTTGTTGAAAAATTCTAAGATAAAAAGTATAAAAACATACATTAGTTTTGGAATTTTTAATTCATGGGAAAAATTTTTTTTTTAAAATATCGTTTCAATACTTCATATTTACCCGCAACATATACCTATTTTTAAATAATAATATTTTATTATTATTATTTGTAAAAATACATTGACATTTTGATGTTAATAATCTATTATTATTCAATTTATTATTCAATTTATTACTCATTGCTCTCTATTAAATAATAATACTTTTATTAATAAAATATTAACGAATTTTTTAAAGATAAAATAAGATATTTAAAATCATTTACCATAAAAATAATCGGTGAAAATGTTTGTATCTTCATGTTTTATCTTCTTTATTTACTTTATTCAAAAATAAAAATTTTTTTGAAGATTATCTACGCAATTTGCATTAAGTAACACAAACCTGCAAAAAAATAACCAAAATTTTTTATGTTTTTCCCTGTTCATTTTGGATACAAAGACAGTGGATTATTTATTAAATATTCAAGGTTATCAGGTTATGAACTGTCATTATCATTCATTATCATCATCTTCATTTGAAGAAGATTTGTCAGTATTTGAGGATGCATCAGAAATCAAATCATCATCATCTTTTTCATCTTTTTCTTTGTCATTATCATTGTCACCATCTTCTTCTTCCTTTTCACTATCAGAAGAATAATCAGCTGATTCTAAATCAGATGAAGAGCTTGAAACACTTGAAACGGTTTCTTCTTTACTATCACATGATTTGAAATTTTGTGATGATCTATTTCTTATATAGTATTAGTAATTATTTTGATTTTCAAATTTGCCAAGATTTCAAAAAATTTGTGGAATGTTTCAATTTTTATTGAATGACTTTTGCCATCATATATGGCTTAGAATCAGTTTTGAAATCAGTAAAGCAAGAATTAACATAATTTGGTTTAATTTAATTTAATTTAATTTATAATAATAAGGCTGAAACCAAACAAAACACATTTTCAAATATACATATAATGGTAACTCAAGATGCAACTGGTTTAGAAGGTAATTATTTTATGTGATAAATTCTTTGAAATATTCTTTTAATAAGCTTTTTTAACAAAAAAGTCAATTTTTATTACATCAATTATAGTAATATTTTGGTTGAAGATGTAGAAGCAGGAACTGGGGCTTTTCATTTCAACTTTACTTAAGTATTAATACCATTTTGGAAATCAAGTAAAAAACCAGTAATTATTCTAGGTAATACACTTCATATAAAACTTGGTGGTGGTGGTAGGAATGTATGAAGAAAAAAGAAAGTTCGGATTTGTGACTCCATATATGCATATTCTTAAAATGTGTGCCTTTTTTAAAAAAAATTAAACAACCATGTCTTTCATTTAGATTATTTTCAACAAGTAGTCTGTCAAAGAATCCCCAAATCTCAAACTGTACATCCATGGCATCTGTGCCTAGGATTGTGGAAGTGATCAACAACCAATGTTACACTAGATTCTTATTGGCTAGGAAAGCAGGGGCAGGAAGATTAATATACTAATACATTTAAGTTTAAAAGAACATCTCTGTTTAGAAATTGTTCAGAAATCCAACCTTTATTGTATCATGCCTTCTTTCTATCAATAATAATAATATAACAATAATAATACTGATAATGATAATGTAAGTTAAAATAACATCTATGTTTAGTAATTATCCATTTTCATTTCAGAAATTTGACCTTCTTACCTTTACATTATTATACCTTCTTCCTATTAAAGAACATTGATAACAACGATCATAACATAAGTATTAAAGACTTTTTCAGTATAATAATTTGTATTCCATTTCAGAAATTCACTTTTATATTATTGTATCTTCCTATTACAGGATGTTGATAATAATGGTAATAATGAAGATGAAATTAGGACTGTTGATGAAATTAATTAGTTATTTTACAATCTATTTTTATTTTTACTAATAATGTTTTTATTATTATTATTTATTATTATTAAAAATTAGGTAATAACAAAAGAAGAAGGGCTGAAGAAACTGGGTATAATCTTCGCCCTAGAGGTCCAGAAAAAAATTATAAGAACAGACCTTTGAAGCATCCACAAAAAAAGAAGAGGCATTGTTATGCAGTAGGTATAAATTTGAGTGTTAATAATAATAAATATCATTTTACTTGATCTTTTTACTTGTATTTATAGGAAATCACCACAATCACCATTTCCTAGGCACTTATTGATTGGGAGCATGGGTGTACAAAATAGTTTGAGGTTTGGGAATTCTTTTGACAGGCTTCATATACATCATATCAGATGAGGTATATTATATATTAATATTAAAAATACAATTAATTATTCTTTTTAAGATAAATCCTTATTTTTTTTTTATTTTTATATAGAAATGCACGAGGTGTAGCATTCATTTGTCCAAGTTGAAAAATAATAAAAAAAGGTAACTGTGATGTAAATCTACAAATTTACTATTATTATTATAACAACAATCAATTTAATTTAACTAATATGACATTCAATTAATCCAATCTGCAATATCTTTTTATTATACCTTTATCAGGATAAAAAAAGTGAACTTTTATAAAATTATTGATTTCTTATTCATTAAATTTTATTATATAAAAATATTAATAAACATTTTCGATCCATTTCAATAACGTGATAATCAATATTTAACTTTTGTCATGTGTATTCTGCTACTTTTTTGTCAATGTATTCAATTGCATATTAGTCACAGGACATTTCGTTTCAGCTGATTTTCTATATTAATTAACATGTAAAAAACAAATTTGAACTTCTTCATTGTTGTGCGTGAATTTGGGAATCTGTGTCAATTTGAATTTCACGCGCGTGAATTTCAAATTGGCCAATCAAAATTTTGTATTCAAACCCCAAAATTTTAATTCACGCACAACGTCATTAAAACAAAGTAAAACTAAATTTGTTAAGGCATTCTGATGAATATATAATAAATTCATATCAATAAACATCGACTGCTGCTATTGAGAAGTAAATTTCCGATTTTTTTTTGTAACACGTTGATATATGATGTATAAAAAAAATGTGTGATATTAAATAAATCTTCGGTAATACCAATATTCGCTTTGTCTGGTTTTGTTCCAGTATTAGTATGCCCCAAATAATCATTTTGCTAATGACGAAATATTACGAATAAAAAATTATGACATAATGATATATCACGTGATACCGACTTATTTAATTACACTTTGGCCAAGTGATTGACCGACTTATCAAGTTTTAGATATGTATATATCAATTATTGAGAAATCTAGAACACTTTATACTGTAACAGACACTTGAAACAAAAAATAAAAGTAATGGGTGAGTTCACATGATATATTAATCTATTACCATTACTCTAGCGGAAATATATTTAATTCTCCAAGCAAGATATAACCTATCAATGAAAATCCAGTATAAGAAGGACGTTGGATATATGCATATTAATATGGACCTTCTTTAATTGATTTGTCATGGCTCTTTCTCTTTTTCTTTTCCTTTCACTTTTTACAACCATCTGCCATTGAAGGAACTGTTAATGTGTCATCAATTTTCAGGATTACAACTCTTGACGAAACAGAGCTCAAGATTGTATCTCTAGAGTTAACTTTTTTCTTTTATATTATAAAAAAAATTTCTTTGGCACATGTAAGATTGATTTTAATAAGAAACAATTATACCTTAATTTACATTTTATTATTGAAGTTTTACTGGTTTTTTTTTGTCATTCAGAAATTTACAATTTATGAAAATTTAAGTTCAACTTACCAAAATATAACTAGATTTTATATTTTAATTAGTTTTAGGAAAGACACTTTATTGTATGCTCCGTGCAGATCTTTTTATAAGTAAAAGAAAATTTTAATTGTATAGATTGTAAAAATTTTGATAAAAGAAAATTTCATCTTTATTATATAGATAAAATGTTTGCTTTCATTTTTTTAATATTAAATATAAAATTATTTAATTAATTAAAAAATGGGAGGGACTAAAAACAAAGCTCGTTGAAATGAAAATTCGCTGAAACGAAGTTTATTGAAACGAGGGTTTGACTGTAGGTTCACTTTCATTATCATTATCAATGTCGTTATCATTATCACTATAATTATAATAATCATTATCATTATCTATTATGAGTAATGTTACAAATAATTAAAGGAGCAATGCAAATGAGTAAATGATTGTTTTTAACGTTACAAAAATACATCTGTTTTTTTTTTGATGTTACAAAAATACACGATAATGATAATGATCATCCGGATGTTAAAAAAGCTATCCGTCAATCCGGAATTGTAATTGATCATCCACGGATCATAATCGTATTAGTATCTAAAAATAAAAGTGATTGAAATTTTGTATTTCTCAAACAAATATCAGCATCATGGGAGGATGGATTTATTGATTTGTTTATTTTTAAAATATTAATTATTCTAATTAAATTATTATTACGATTATTATTTATCATTACTATTGTGCTAATACCGACTATTATATTACCAATCTAATCTTCCACCTTTTCCTGGTGCAAAACTTCCATTCATTGATCCTCGATATAAATCTTTTATTACTTTTCCTTCGATGACAGTTGACTCTATTATACTTTCAACATGACATGGAATCACACGTCCATACCATATGCCTTGACCATCTCGATAAACTATAACATTACCAGCAAATTTATGACCTAAAAAACATCAATTAATTAAAAATCAGAAAAGACAAATTTATAGAATTTTTAAATATAATAAAAATCAATAAATAAAAAAAAATTTTTACCTCCAGTATGACTACTTAAAAACACAGCCACACCTTCATTTTTTTTCCTTTCTACGTCTAAACCTTTATCTTTTAATATTCGATCAAATTCATTTTTTAATATTGGTCCGGTTATACCGCATCTTTTATCACGTCGTTTATGTGAACATATTACTATGACAGCTTTGTATGGCGTTGGATCTACTTGAAAAGAAATGTTTTGATCTTTATGTGACCATGGTGATGGTGATGGTGGTGATGACGGTGGGGGCAATAAAAAGGTTTTAAAAAATTCTGAAGCATTATTTGGGTTTACATTACGAATTAAAATATTATCAGGAAATAGGAGAACATCATTTCCTTTTAAAAATTTTGGGTCATTATCAGTATTCTCTCGACTACTATTAGTGATAACTATACGAGGCAATTTTTCTGACTCTGTATTATTGACAATGCTATTATCGTTGACATTATTATAGTTGTTGTTAAAAACTTTTTCATCAAAATCGTTATTATCATATTCAATTTTGTTTCTTTTATCTTTCTTCCTTTCTTTCTTCTTGACATTATTATTGTTGTTGTTGTTGTTGTTGTTGTTGTTGTTGTTGTTGTTGTTGTTGTTGTTATTACTACTACTATCATTGACTTTAATGATTTTATGTAGTTGACCCGCCAAACTTGCAGAATCATCTTCTACTCTGGTTATCCAATCTGCTTTACCCGTTGAAATTAAAACATGTTTGAAATATGGCTTTAATGTGTCTTCCAATGGAGAATTATAATCAATTTTAAGATATGAAGGGTATGAAGGATGGGTTGAACAAGGATTCACACAGTCAAAACATGGATTGTCTTCATGATCATCTTTATGATGTTTTAATGTAATTATTTGATCTTGTTGAGGTTTATTGTACAGTTGAATGTTATTGTTGTTGTTGTTGTTGTTGTTGTTGTTGTTACTACTTTGAACTTTGGAATTTTGCGTTGAAAAGCGCAGAGACATAATAGCACCGTAAAACCGAGTGCTAAAAAAATTCATTTTAAATAAAAGTAATTTAATTTTTTGAAAATTTTTTTAGGAAAGGAATAAAAAAATGTTTTTTTAGGGAAATTTTTTTTTCTTCATCATTATATATATATATTAATATGGATAATTATATATATATATTAATATGTATAATATATATATATTATAAACTATTTGTAATTTAATTTATATGGTAATATTGTTTGTTGAACAAGGATTTATCTGATTGATTTCCCAATTGCATTTATCAGATTTTTATGCATTCTCATAATAATTGCATCCGAAATATTTTCTATCAGATCCTTAAGTCAGAAAATCATCATCATTCGACTTGCTATATTTAGTACCAAGGATATAAATTCTCTTGGCCAACATATGGACTATTTTAATCAAGTGTGTCTCATTAGTACTGGGGCTACTCACACAGCCTATTAAAAGCCTTTTTTCCTTTTATAAACGAAAATTGTCGATCAGCATTTATTGCTATATTTACTATATAATATATTTTACAATTTACCTAATTACTATGAAAAACTTTAATAAAAAATAAAATACATTTTCATCGATGATTATTTTAATTATGGGTTATCTATCGAACCAGTTGGGATTAAAATTTCCAAGTCAGAATTAAGTATAAACCTTCCTTTGAAAATTCTTGCCCGTTTTTTATCATCCCACCCGTCTTCTCTAGAAATATCATCCACCTCCAAAAATAAACTTCTCAACTCTTCTTCCAGTTCACTAATTTTTAACTCCAATTCTTCAATATGATGTTTGTCGTATTCTCCTACACTAACTGCAACTACACTCATCACCTTTATCACTCTCCACAATCTAAATAAAACCAATAATCCTGCAACTTCTCTTTGTTTACCCTTTAAGAATATCTCTAATAAAAACGTAGCCAATACTATAGTTGCATCAAATATATGAATTAACCAATGATTATTCTTGAAAAAATACGTTTTAAATCCATATACGAACGCATGTAACGTTATTTCAAGTAAAAACATTATATTAACAAAAAATGCCAACATCTCCAATCCTTCAATTAATTCATTATCTGTATCATATTTATCTGGAGCCAAAAATTCTAATAATATTATTGTCATTATACATGAAAAATCCACTCCAATTAATCCCAATATTATCCAATGTATTCTTCTTGATTCTAAATGTTTTTCGAGCCATTCTTTAACAGTTGGATTGGCCATTGTTTCTTAATGACTAAGAATTAATTTAGTGTAACAAAATTTATTCTTTAACACAAATAATAATAATAAATTTACAAAAAAGGGTTGTGCCGTTTCACGAAAACAAAAAAAGTGTGTGAACATCATGTCATAACCATGATATTCGCTCTATTTATCATGCATGTTATTATTTCATTGGGCGTCTTTATAAATTTGTTTGAATAATATTAAGATTAGAATTTATTTGCAAATTATTACAAATAAATACATAATTTATTGTACTCCCCATTTCCAACGATGAATGGATCTTGATCTAATACATCATTGACGTTTTCAACCGTAAGTTATTTTTAGCAACAATAACATTATTAGTTGCTGGTGGTGGTGGGATATTATTACATACAATGATGAAACATCACTATAAACACTACTATCATTATCATGTTCATTCTCCCGATTTCTCCCGATAACTTCCTATTTCTTCCTCGCCACCTTTTCTTCTTGTTCATTATTTAAATATTAGCCAAGTGTATATATTAACATCTGTTGTATGTGAAATTGAAACTATTACTATGTGAAATTAAAATTTTGGGGTGGGGTGTTTGGATATGAAATTCTGATTGGCTAATTTGAATTTCACATACGTGAATTGCAAATTCATTTTCACGCACAAACATAACTGAATATTTTTAATTCAAAAAAAAAAATTTTTTTAAAAGCAGATTTTTTACATAGAATTTTTATGATATAATAAATTCAATTGATCATATTCTTTTTATATTGTCCTTAAATGTTAAAAAACTTGTGTATTTAGATGGAAGATTCTCAATGTTCTCAAGATACAAATCCATCAAGATGTACTTTATGTGAAGATCAGGTTTTTTATTTCCTGTAACTTTTGCCTCAACTTTCATTGCTACAACCATGTCAATACAAACTGTGGTCAACAATTATTGTCCTAAAAGAAAATCATCAATAATCCAGAGACAGGCAAAATTAATAAGGAGCTAATCATACTTTCTCCTCAAATATAAATATTCTTTGCGTAAACATCTCAAGTCCCTACAACAATAAAAATCACCTTTAATTCATTAATTATTAATTTTAGGTGGTTTTATCGTACTTTTACAAAAAAATATACAAGAACTATTTTCCAATTTCGTTTCGTTTTTCTTTATTTTTTTCACCATATTACTCCTTTTCATTGCCTAGTTGGTGAAGACAAGCACTTTGTTGTTTTTATATATTGTTTGTGATACTAATTAATCATTATATTCATATTAAAAGAAAAATATGTGATTAGTTCACTTGATGGAATAAAGACTGAAATTAGAAAATATTTTGATCGTGAATATTATATTTAAAAACAAATAGAAGGGTTAATGAACAGGTATACATAAGGATCATCGAATAATACAACTAGAACTGTTGGTTTATTTCATTTCACTCACTCATTCATTAAGAGGGATTTTATTGATACAGATTACTAACATTGTATTAATATTTGTTTCCTTCAAAAAATGATCTATGGTTAAAAACGACTAATTATTGCTACGCGACCAGGGAGGACATTTTCGATATCAAGTATGAATACTCGGAAAAGAATTAAAATTATCCGTTTGTGTGCGGGGCAAGATGCCTTCCTTGGAACTGGCTTTCTTACAGTATATGTAATAAAAGATGTTCGTCCAAACAAGTAGTACTGGAATGCTGGAATTGTTCATGGTACAGCAGGTGTAGTTGTTTTTGACAAGGTATGGTAAAAATAGTTTTTGAGTTAAAGAAGATAAGTAGTTGAACTGATGGTGGTTAAAGAGCTTCTGATTCATTTAGTATTCCTGCTAACATTATAATATATCTTTAAAGGAAGTCATAGACGGTGAGTGATGAAAACAATGCAATTTCTTCAGAAATATCAGTGGTGATGCCGACAGATTTTCAAAAAAGCCAAAACTTTCTTTTGGCTTTCTTATTTTCAAGCTGACGTGCACGAACTAAAGACTTAAAGTCACGTGAGACTGCATATGATGAAAATAACCACATCTTATTTTCAAGCTTTAATTGCATACGCTTTAATTTTGTAAGCTAGCTTTACTTATCAATTAAATAAAAAAAAACCATCTGCTAAAGTTGTTATCTCTCCCTCAAGTATAATGATGGTAGTTTTTATCGAGAGTAAAATTTGAGATAAAACAAATACCTTCTAAAAAAAAAAAAAAAAAACCCCCCGGCTTTCTTAGATACCATTTAACAGTTTTACTACTAGTTCAGAAAACAATATTAATCTTAATATTTCTTTTATTATTAAGAGACAAACTTTTTTAAAAAAATTATCAACATCTTTCAATGCTCTCCGTATTTGTTCCATAGAGTTTGCGACTTCGAAAACAGATGGTTTCAACCTCACTCCTTGAATCATATTAACATCAGCTGCTCGTGATGATAGAATATTGCATAATGTGGGTTTTTACAATATTGGAACATATAAACAGCAATTTTTATCACTATATATATATATTTGACAATATACTGTATGTTAAAAAGAATCCTGCCAAAATTTTTTTAATTTAAATAAAAATTATTATTTTGTTAACAAGCTCCATAAAATGCGCAATACATCGTAGATTTATAATATGCGACAGAAATTGATTTTTATATGGTTCTTTAGCAAGTTTTCCGTTAGAACCATTACAACGAATTTGTTGCACCAACTTTATTTAAAATAGAGGTAATTCTCATTATCTGAATATTATATGATGTTATTCAGAGTAACCTTTAAATCAATATAAATATAATTTGTGTTTTGGTTATCATTTTTACTAGGGCACAATATATCAAAGGTTCTATTATAAAGATTTGGATTTCAATTCTATCAAAGATTATTACCCTTGCTTATTATATTTACTCATTCTTTAACATTAAATTTATAGATTAATAATTTTTTAAAAAAAAGGTATATAATAACAACAATAAAAAAAATCCCAAGGGATCCTTCCTTGGAAGATGACAAAAATTTCTATCATAATAATCGACATCAAACAAATAATCGATAGCAGCATAATCGTAGTTACTACCCTTGCTATTGTTACTATTATTACCACCACCGCTGTCATTGTCTCCATTATTACCACTTCACCATCACTGCCATCATCGTCACATTACTACCACCATTGCTATTACTTACCACTGCTGACATAATTTCCACCATACCATCTATCACTATCATCATCATCATCGTCATCATCATAGTCATCATAATAATAATAATCACTGCCGCTGATATTCACACACATTCAAATGATTAATGACAAGTGTAATTATAAAAATTATATATAGGTTGTAGTCTTAGCGTGGTTGTGGATGTTGTTGATATTGCTGTTGATGCTTGCTGCTGACGTTGTTTTTGTCTTATTCTTCTTTCACTCATTTTCTTTTGTTTTCCAAAGTCATGTTTATCACATGACTTTAATTTATAAATTAATATGATGGTGTATTACTTTGCAGATAATAATAGTAGTAGTAGTAGTAGTAATAATAGTGCAGGCGTTACGAAATATCCTGCACGTTCTTGGGGTGTTCCATTTTTATAGATCACCAAACACATGCTATGTTGCAATTAAGTGCGATATCGCAGTTAGAATGCTAAGATTGCAATAAAGTTGCCACTAATTAATTTAATTGTATATAAGAAGTTCAAATTCGACATAATCATAAATTTATATTGTTATCACGCTCTCTCAAATAATAATTGGTGACAACTTGGTGCGAGTTGTGTGGAATTAT